ATACTCGACCGCCTTTTGGATAGGTACGTGCCGCCAGCGGTCTAAAACCCTGACCCAGTTTAAGACACTAGAAAGTGAAAATCCATACCCTGTTCAAGACAAACCGGAAGAATACGGAATCGAAACTGACATCCATCAAAGAAAATAAGCAGTTTTTGATAACACGTTAATCCTGCTACAGTGAAACGGTATTTCTACCATTTCTACGGTATTTCTTATGAAAATATTACCCTKTCTAAGACACACAAAAAAATTCTATCGGTTTTTATCTAAATTGTAGAACCTGTTTAAGACAATTTCGGGTGAAATTGAAATGTATACCCTGTTTAAGACAGCAAGGCCAACAGCCATACCCTGGCCAGCGGCACGTCCCCGTATAGCAAATAGCAAATATATGGGAGTCCCCCCCCCTTCCCACCCCCCGGGCATAGTTTAGGTAAAATCGTGGAAAGCTTATCAAATGGCACATTTTCATTAATTTTATTTGGCTATCTATCGTCTTGCTTAATTGTAAAAGTCTATATTACCCAAACCGATAAAATGCACTGAAGTGTGTTCTTCAAAATATATATAATTCCGCAGAAACAGAAGACATATTTGGGTACTTGTTCGAGTTTTTCATTGTAGATACATTTGCAAGATTATTCAGAAATGGGACTATTGCTCTTCTTGTATGGTTAAAATGCTTTAAAATAGAATCAATAAAATAAGAATAATAGCTTGTCTAAGCACCACTGGATGCAGGCTGCAAATTATAGAGAAAATTGGAGTTAAAAATCCATTATGCTAATTTGATGACGTCACAAGGTGTGCTCTATTAAATTTAAACTGTGTGTTTACGAGTGCTCTTTAATTTACCCCTCCCAAACTGTGAAAAAATTTGTTTTTGGAAACCCAAAAAATATTTCTTACCAAAAAATAAGGTGAAAATAAACAATCCGGCAATTTTGTATAATCAATGAGCACATCATGTGACATCAAATGAGCATAATGGATTTYTAACTCCAATTTTCTGTTAAATTTGAAGTCTGCAACAAGTGGCACTTTGCCAAGCTTTTATTCTCTTCATATTGATTTTATTTTAGAAAAAAATCGCTTCATAAGCACTTTAATCACTGTGCTACTTAAAGAATCTTTTAGACTTTCTGTATTAAGTTCTCTTAACAGTCTCCTTCACGGTTCCCTGCGCCATCTTGAAAGGTAACCGTGTTTTTGCATCAGTGAGGATACTCTCTTCGCCTTCGATGCAAACGAACGGAGACCGTGAAGAAGATTATGTTAGGCCCGGTTCATACATCGAGCCAGCGTCGCGCCGAACCAAAACAGTAAACACCTGAAAATATGAAGCTAATGGATTAAGAACCTCTTGACACAAATTTAGTGTTACATTAGTAATTACAGGTAAGGAGAAAAGCAATAAAACATAAGGTAAAAAAGGAAAAAAGTTCGATATATGAATCAACGCCGTACCATTGGGTCGATACCAATTGTCTACACCTATTTCAAAAAACGTTGTCGTCACCACGACACAGTCCACAGGCTTGAGCCTGCAAAGAATTACTAATTTACTATTGCGTGTGTTAAACACATTGAACAAGTYCCGCCATGAAAAATTAGTAGTGTTTTCCTTGAAATGAATATTCCACGTTTTTAAACCGTCAATGAGTTTCAAAGCTATTTTCGCTACGAGACCGAGAATAATCCAGTCTCGATTTCTTCAATGCTCTGTGTTAGCCTCATTTGTTCGCAAAATATTCCTAATTGTGAGAATAAAAGATTAATTATATCAATTCTATTGTCTCCCTTCTCAAATTCCATGCGTTTTCTCGGACTATCAATGAAACAAAAGAATATGTTGCTTGGTTTTGAAGCTAACACAGAGCAAATCAGAACTCTAAATCGGAGAATTTTGAATAAYTGAWATTGAATATATAATATATATGGCAATCCCGAGATTCTTTGCAGGCTCAAGACTGTGGGCTGTGTACTGACGACGACAACGTTTTTTGAAATAGGTGTATTTGGTTCGGTGCCACGATGGAACGATGTATGAACCGGGGATTAGTTGCTTTTCTGATGCAAATTGTTGGCTTGTAGAATGAAGTAAAATGAATAATGAAAGAATTAAACTCAATGTATTATTCTTACTGATTTCGCAGTTCCTTCCAGTGTATGTGGCGATGCAATTACATGTATACTTAAGTCCTCTATCTTTAACAGTGCACTCGCCACCACTTTGGCAAGGGTTTGGCCAGCAAGCGGTCTGCAATATATGAAATGCATCCGGGTGGTAGAATATCTATATTCGGCAATGTACTAGTATCATGAAGTTAACAGCAGACGACATTTATCGATACTAAATTTCTGATATTTATACACCTACTATATAAAACGTAGTTTAGTTCCAAAAGGTGACATAATGAATAATAAAACCGAAACGAAGCGTGGGAAGCAAATATTGCGAGGATAGCATTGTTTGAGTGCAAAAGATTATCTTATCTGTAACATGTTTAGGTAAATATGACTCGACTTTTTCAGATCCTTTGCGGTCTTAGCTTTCATGATAAGTGACTTTCACAACCCGAGGACGTTTTTTTAATTAGGTGCATGTTTATGCATGTGATGACGGATATTGGGGTGTTTCTTTTTTTTTCTTTTTATCTTTTATTCACTTCGTTTCCATTTCCTTCCGGAGTATTTTCAGCGCTAATTTTGTGTTATCGATGATATATCGCATGATTGATCTGGTGTCATCCATGTCCACTTTCTGAGGACATTCTATCAATGTACTATCTAACTTCACTATTGCAAGGGTCTAGAAGAAAGACCCCATATATTAAGTTAKTATTTCTTCATGAAATTCTCCATACGAAATTTAGTCAAATTTTGGCATGAATACAAACCAATTACTCTAGTCTTTTTGTTTGCACTCATTATTAATTCACCACGTCATATGAAACTAGCTCACTGATGCAAAACTCCACCGACAAACTAATGGTTTTATTGAACAACAACACCCATTAGATTAAAAAAAGTTTATTTGACATGATGGAACCAAAGTCAGAGTAGCAAGATTGTAAGCTTTTGCTCGCTCCTTTATTTCTTTTAAGTGAGATTTTGAATATAATTCATGGAGAGGATCTTTTAGACCTTTCACTTGGTTATTCAATTTTAATAWTGACTTGTTTTAATTGCTACCCACATGATACTCGATAAAAGAAAAGTTACATAAAGAAAAAATCAGTAGCTCAATCTTTCACGCTGAGACTCGAAAAAAATGTATATATTCCTAATACGAAAGTYCTTGTTTTTAAAACAAGAAGTTTTTTTAGTCAACCTGTGCTGGCTGTAGAGAGAGTTAATCTTCTTTCAAAGCGGATGCTGCACAACATAAATATTCAAGTTTAGCTAAATCGAAAAGAGCTCATTATTTACCTTCATCTGCATAAACTTTGAGTTGGGTTTTGGTACGAGATGTTTCTCAAATCCCGTCCCAGTCCAGTTAAGAAGCTCACATTGATATCTCGATTCATCCAAAGCAATGGTATTCACCGACAAGCATTCCTTGTTTTGTACGCAGTTGAACCAACATTTTTCAATGCTTCCAGTTGTTTGGTTGGACAAAAGACTACCAMGTTTATAGAAAAAGTTCGCATCTGAAGTTTCATAAAAGTTCCCAAATGAGATTTCTCCTTCTTTGTTGAGATAATGTGTAGATCGGGCAGATTTGAAGACGTAAAAACAAGTCAAACTAAAAAGAACCACTTTCATTGTTATAGTCATGTTCCCTTTGAGTCAGTGCCGCTATAGTGAAATTAMKTTCACSAAWACTAATGGCTTTCTAATGAAATATTCATAAACATATCACAAAATTGACTTAGTAAAGCTGCCCTTTGATTAGCAGACATGTATATTGAAATGCATATCTAATTTGGAAGTGCGTTTGGACTGATTTTTGACGATTTTGTTGTCTTTTAAAGCTTGAAATACTCTGGAAATTGCAGATATTATAGCGAATRCACTTCTGAACAATCGGCCATTTTGATTGTTTCCATATATGGCATGGATTTGCTAAAGGAAGCCCAAAGCTACAATGCACAGGGATTCCGCACGAATGATAGACATTTTAAGTTCTTTTTTATTAAAAGATATTAAGCAGTGGGAAAGCTTTTCTCTTTTCAGCATTAAAAAGGTGCAGAATTGTATTATTTTTATATCTGRTCGCTTTTATAACGGTGCATCAACATGCAATTAGTATTATAAGTGCTTTATAGTACGTTCAACAAAATAGTACTTTTTCTTTGGTCGAGAGGTAGAATTACAGCGTTAATTGTACTTCTTAGGAGTACCAATTTTAAAAGTCGTCATCAAAATTAAAAAAAATCATCATATTTAATTTGTACTTTAAAATTTAAAAAATGCTTTTAAGATAACTTTAACCRCGTCACTTTGATGTATTTTATTAGTTTCTATCAACAAACTTTATGGAATGAAAACCAAAATAAWAGAAAAAAGCTCGAATAAACGCGCATTATAGTCGTAGTGTGTCTTGTATATTAATAGAATAATAGATATTATAGAATTTTGTTCCACTGAATGYACTATAAACAAAAAATCGCACGACCTCTCGTACAAGCTACCGTGYCCACAAAATAAAGTTCTAAGTACACGATAAAACGTCTTCATGTTTATAAGCAAGACTTTGGTACATTTTAGGCTKAAAATTTTGTAAAACTTTATGTTTTGAAAAGCGGAATGYATCAATCAATCAATCAATTTCGTCTTTGTTGTTCTGCAACATTTAAGTTTTATCGAATATTTTAAGTACTATCGAATATTGAAGAAGAAGTTACTTCAATTGAAACAAGTTTTTTGTATATTAGATTTTTCCTTTAAAGGGTATCGTTTGTAGATGGATCGATCCATAGTCTGTAGTGGCTGACAACGTCTGATTTTATTTCCGGGGGGGGGTACTTTCCGGGGGGTTACTCCCCCGAAACTTGGGTGGGGGTGTGCCGCTGGGACCTCAAAACCTTGAACCTGTTCCAGGGTGAAATCGCTGAAAACTATACCCTGTTCCAGAGYAAAATCCTGCACTAGCTTGCGTGTATACCGAATGTTTACCCCATGAATTTTTATCCAGCATCAATAATTCAACCCTGACCCTGTTCCAGAGAAAATTCGTTGAAATTGATACCCTGTTCCAGAGTAAAATCGCTAAAAACGATACCCAGTTCCAGAGTAGAATCGCTGAAAACGATACCCTGGTTGGCGGCACGTCCCCGTATAGCGAATATAGAGAGTACCCTCCGGCCCCCGGGTATTATTTTCATCAGAAAAAGTTTTTAATGATGTATGTTACCTTGACATATTAAAAACATAATTTATTACAAGAGAAGTACGACAAAAATGTCGGTCCCCATGCAAATAATCTCAAAACCGAGATCACCTGCTCGTTTAACAATAGAAAATTAACTTTACAGTCTCATATCAAAGCCGTTATGTGACTCGTTCTCAGGTATCCCTTCCTAACGTTTGCTCGTTGAAGCAAAATTCCGTTCTCTTAGTTTTGGCCAGCCAAATGCATTGCCAAGTTCTGAAGTATACCGGATAAAATCTGTCAAAGTCAGTGTTTTGGTTTAGTTCCAATTTTTTGGCAGATCAATTGAGAAAGTGTCAAGTAAGCACAGCACTAGACATACGCCTGAAAGCATTCAAACTTTTTTKACTATTTTTGCAATTTTTGGATATATGTCTAAACTGCTACAAAATTAGAATACGAACTTCGAGAGGTAAGGAAGAAACTGAAAAGTCTTGAAAACAAGATCACTGGGTAAAAGAGGTTTTAAGAAAATATTAATTAGACACCAGAGGATGTGTGTAAATTTTCTGTAAATATTCTGTAACGGTCATGTAAGTGTCCAAAATCTTGTAAATATTACTTACATGATATTTAGAACATTTTTACATYAAATTTACAGCGCAATTTTTTCCAGTGACAGCTGACCACTGTCGAAGCGACATTTTGCAGGTTTTATACATACATTAGTATTATTTATTAGTAAACAATCGAGGAAGAGCCCTTTGGACGGCATTAATAAAGTTATTTCTTCATTATTATACTAAAAAGTCTTTGGAAAGTGCACCTTGTTAAAAGCTTAGCGTTTGCTTTGATTTACTATTTGCAAATGTCCTCAATGTGATCAACGCTGATAACACCCCATTCACTTGACGACACGTCAACAAGCCGAACCTGAGCTACCTGGCCTATCCGTGATGACACATCGAACTCTTTTTGCTCCATGGTATTAGTGTTTTGCGTGCTTGTTGCCTTGACTATCACCAATCCGCCAATGAGGAGCTCGAGTAGTTCTGAGTTAACTTTTCTACCTCCGCCAATCAGAAACCTCAGTTTTGTTCCTAAAATTAGGAATGGTGGAGAGGTCGCAGTGCCCTKTGGTATATCTGTTTGTATTTTACCTCCTGGATAAGAAGGACTGGGTCTGTTTTCATATGTAGCAACATACCAGTCTCCTCGAAGGTTAGATGGGGAAGCTCCTCGTACGGGAGGATTATCACCGTAGGTTGGCTGGTTGTTGAATGCTGTTCCTGTCAGGGTCCAGCCGTCAAGTCGTCCACTTTCAAAGTCAAACAGTACACATTCTACAAAGAAAAGCTTTAAATGATAAAAGAAAACAGCGGAAATGTATTTWTAAATAAAGAGGTTTTGCCTGAAAATACTTAATAATATATCTTCAAATTTATGATTTTTTTTGTCARTATTTCCAAGAAGTCCTCTTGGAAAAATACAAATGGAATTAACAAATATAGAGAGCATAACACAACAGCAGAGGGAAACAACTAGTTCAGTCGATATGTTAGTAGTTTCGCATCAATTTCATAATTTTATGTGATTTGTGTATAAAGTTCAACTCCATTAAATTATTTCCAATGAGTGCGTCTCAGTAGAGCACACCTGTTTTACACGACTCAGTTTGTCAATCCCAATCGAAAAAATGTATTCTCCTTGAAGAAGCACTCCCATAGAGGATGAGTTCGATCGGCCTTAATTAAATTTCTAAATTTAAATTTCGTAATTCCGACTTTCTTGTCCACTTGAATCACCATTTTGTGATCATTTGAGTATTAAATTAAATCGATCACACTAGCATACTTACTTAGTATTCATGATTGATGACAGTAATGCTGACGATTTTCGTGGGCTAGTTTGATAAAAAAGCTAAGACTCTTACTTTTAAGCTCACAGTGTCTTCCACTAGTATTCACAAGATAACAAGTGCATGTGTAGTTGGCTCCCCCATCTTTTACAGTGCATTGGGCGCCATTTTGACAAGGGTTTGGATCACACTAGAGATGGAAAGATGGTATTAGTTAATTAGAGCGCAACACAAATAGAATCCTTTTCGATATTATGACTACCATATTGATTTCACAATTCCTTCCAGTGTGACCAACACAAGCACAGGTGTAGTTAGTTCCTGCATCTTTCACGGTACATTGTCCGCCATTTTGACACGGGTTTGGATCACACTGGAAATGGCAWGATGATATTAGTTAACTAGAGCAAAACACAWAATACAATAAATCTTTTCGATGCTATGCCTACCATATTGATTTCACAATTTCTTCCAGTGTGACCAACACAAGTACAGGTGTAGTTAATTCCTCCATCTTTCACGGTGCATTGGCCACCATTTTGGCAAGGGTTTGGCGAACACTGTTAAAATCCAAAATTTGATTAAGAACATATACGATTCAGAAACGATATCGGAAAAATATTAGCAGCATCTTACCATATTTATTTCACAATTTCTTCCAGTGTGCCCAACACAAGTACAGGTGTAGTTTSTTCCTCCATCTTTCACGGTGCATTGTCCGCCATTTTGACAAKGGTTTGGATCACACTGGAMATGGCAAGATGATATTAGTTAACTAGAGCAAAACACAAAATACAATAAGTCTTTTTCGATACTATGCCCACCTTATTGATTTCACAATTTCTTCCAGTGTGATTAGTACAAGTACAGGTGTAGTTTGTTCCTCCATCTTTCACGGTACAYTGACCACCATTTTGACAAGGGTTCGGCGAGCACTATAACAACAAAACATCGAAAAATTAAAGAAAATGAACTTAAAAAGTAGTGTGGTTATTGTTATTATTTATACCATGTTGATTTCACAATGTCTTCCAGTGTGATTAGTACAAGTACAGGTGTAGTTTGCTCCTCCGTCTTTCACGGTACATTGTCCGCCATTTTGACAAGGGTTTGGCAAACACTGTTAACAAAAAAAAAAGAATTGAAAGTAAGAATTACACCAATTATGACCGATTCCATTACATCAATTCATACCATGTTGATTTCACAATTTCTTCCAGTGTGACCAACACAAGTACAGGTGTAGTTAGTTCCTCCGTCTTTCACATAACATTGTCCGCCATTTTGACAAGGGTTTGGATCACACTGGAAATGTCATGATTATAGTATTCATTAGAAAGAGCGCAACACAAAATACAATAAATCTTTTCGTTATTATGCCTACCATATTGATTTCACAATTTCTTCCAGTGCGACCAACACAAGCACAGGTGTAGTTAGTTCCTGCATCTTTAAACGTGCATTTTCCGCCATGTTGACAAGGGTTTGGTAAACAAACAGTCTGCATGAAACACAGTAAGGTCGTCAAAAAGAATCCGATACTCATAATAGACTATGTATTCAGACTACAAAAGAGACCTTATAATGCTAGTTGTTATGACACCTTATTTTCATCTYTTAACTTTGAATTTCACCTCATCAGAAACTTTAGTTTTTGAAAAAACTAACCTGTAGCAAAATAAATTTCGAGTTTGGTTTTGGTACGAGGTGATGCTCAAATTCCGTCCCTGWCCAGTTAAGAAGCTCACATTGATATTGCGATTGATCCAAAGCAATGGTATTCACCGACAAGCATTCCTTGTTTTGTACGCACTTGAAGCAGCATTCTTTAATGCTCTTGGTTGTTTGGTWGGACAAAAGACTGCCGAGTTTAGAGAAAAATTTTCCTTCTTCAATTYTGTAAAATTTTCGAATGATGACTYCTGCGTCTCTATGCAGTTTCTSTGTGTATTGTGTACATTTTAAAGCTTGAAAATTCATCAAAATTAACAAAATTGTCTGAAGATCGTTTGCCATGATAGTAACAGGTCATCCTTCACAAAAGARCGATGGTTACGACAAGCCGTCTTGGCACTGCACTTTAAAATTGGGATGCGGCGGCCAATTATTAATTGGAATACGTCAAGGCATCATTTTTAGAAGACAAAATTTGCTTTTTTTTTCACGGCAATTTTTGGATGGTCATATACCTCAAAATATTGAGCTGTACTCTTACGTTCTTTTCCTACCAGCAGTGCACCCTGCATTTGTGTGCCTGCTGTCGTATTTGTCAGCGTTGTATACGGAAATTGCAGGCATTTATTCTTTCATTTACTCAAAATCGCAGGATTGGGGAGGGGGCTCGGTGAATTTGCTATAATGAGGTGTTCTGCAAAATAGGGCCTGTTTTTCAAGCACCCCCCAGGGATTCTAATGAAGATGAAAAAGCTTCTTCTACATTCTTCCACGTGCCCTTGTTTTCCGACGTCTTTTCTATGTTGTAATGTACAAGTAACTATTAATTTTTGCGTATATGCGAGTAATTTTTTTTTCCGGAGTCTTTAAGATATCTTGAACTTGGAATAACAGGCAAGCACTTTCAACGTTGACGAGACAATAACGAATCAATTACTTACTGGTTTGCTTACTGGTTTCCATGAAGAGAATATAKAAAATATGCCTAAAACTAAAGTTTTTCATGTCATCATTATCTCTTGGAATTGTTTCACTTGTGCTCATTAATTAATCAATGATTATGTGGCAGTCGTAAAATATTTTGAAGTACTAACCACATTATCTAATATTTCCTCGTAAGTGAGTGTCATGTAGTAAAACAAGAGTCGCCTTAAGTTGCACCAAATTACCGAAAATTATACAAGACAACTTTTAAGTCATATGCAAGGCACTCATTACTAGTTTTTCCTTATAATATACAGTTTTTTTTTTCAAATTTTCTTTATAAATACGAGATYAGTTGTTCTTCATATAGCTGTCGTTKATTTAATGCAAATTGGTGCCATTTTGACAAGTAGTCAATGAGGGGTGATTCTATGACTGACGTGTCACTAGACTTGACATCACTCTGGGCAAAAAGTGTCCTCAATGTGGTCAACGTTGATAACACCCCAACTACCTGACGACCCGTCAACCATTCGAACTTGAGCAACCTGGCCTCTCAGCGACGACACGTCGAACTCTCGCTGATTCATGGTTTCACTATACTGTACAGCGGTGTCTTTTAAAACTACTGATCCACCAATCAGTAACTCTAKACGTTCTTCATCAATGTTAGACCCTCCACCAATCAGAAATCTTAGTTTTKTTCCTAGGATTAAAAATGGTGGCGAAGTTGCAGTGCCGATAGGTTGATCTCCTTGTATGTTACCTGCTGGTTGAGAAGGACTGSTTCGGTTTTCGTATGTTGATACATACCAGTCTCCTTTGAGGTTCGCATGGGGCTTATTTCTAGATTKTGGATTATCTCCATAGGTTGGTTGATTGCTGAATGCTGTTCCTGTCAGGGTCCAACCGTCAAGTCTTCCAGTTTCAAAATCAAATAGTACACATTCTGGAAACAAATTATTTTGAAATATTATCATAAAGTCAATTGAAGTGATGATGATGATAATGATGATGATTTTTATCATCATTATTATTTTTTAACAATAATTAACCCTCCTATGCAATCAAATTGATTTAGTCGGCAAACTCTATTTGCATAGTTTGATTTTTTTTTGTGTGTCCCAATCCTCCTCCTGCTGATATAATTACTTGGAAGTCACTTTCTTCGAACAGCTTTCAGAAAATAAATCGCAAAGAATTACACTTGACTGCATAGAATACATATCATGTCTATCATCACAATTGATGTAACTCTTACTTTTAATCTCACAGTGTCTTCCACTAGTGTTAACAAGATAGCAAGTGCAGGTGTAGTTGGTTCCTCCATCTTTCTCGGTGCATTGGCCGCCATTTTGACAAGGGTTTGGCCAGCAAACAGTCTGAAACACAGTAACATCGTCAAAAAGCATTAGATGCTCACTGTAGACTGCAGTAGAGAGCAAATGCTAGTTGTTATAAGCGCCCTATTTTCATCTTTTAAATTTTTAAATTTCACAAAATATCTCACTAACCTGCAACTGTATAAATTTGGAGTTTGGTTTTGGTACGAGATGGTTTTCAAATCCCGACCCCGTCCAGTTAAGAARCTCACATTGACTTCGYGATTGATCCAAAGCAATGGTATTCACCGACAAGCATTCCTTGTTTTGTACGCACTTGAAGCAGCATTCTTTAGTGCTCTTGGTTGTTTGGCTGGATAAAAGACTGCCATGTTTAGAGAAAACCTTTCCTTCTGCACTTTCGTAAAATTTACGAATGATAACTTCTGCTTCTSTATGCAGTTTCTGTGTGCATTGTGTAYATTTAAATAAGGTGTGAAAATACATGAAAGTCAGCAGAAATTTCTGAAGATTGGGTGCCATTTTAGCACAGTTTATAATTTGCTAGTMAGATATGTTGAATGTGGGAAAACTGGCGAGACAATAATCAATTATTTACAAACGGGTTTCCAATTATACTGCCTTTCCAATTTTTTTTGTCGTTACACTAAATTACTTTGAATACTTTAATCTTTAATTTCTAGTTAATACCTTGTGTTTTAGTTTTTAGCTTGAATTAACATTTTGCACTAGATATTTTTCCGAAAGGTTGAGTAAAAAAAGGAAAAGAAATTTGAGCAAATTGAATTTGAGCAAAAAAGTTTGACGTCAGTCTTGGACTAAAAATACCAAATATCATATTTTATCTTTCTTTCTTTTATTTCATTTAATCTTTCGTTTTTGAAGTACATACAACATCAGCCGTGTGAACCATGTTCTTTTGTTTAGTATGAATTGTTTTAAAAGATCTCATCGTTCTGTTTCCTTGATATATGCGATTTCTTTGGAAAATATTTTTGATAAAAAAAATATCAGGTTACTGTCCATAGCTGTCATAAATGTAATGCGATTGCCCGACATTTTGACAACTAGTCACGAGGCAGGATTTAGTAAAAGACGTGGCATAAGACCTGCTAAGAAGAACTGTCATCCTAAATTACGTTGTCCATTTAAAGGGGAAAAAAAGAAAAGCTCGTTTGCAGGATTTGAATTCCCGGGAAAGAAGTTCAATTTAAAATTCCTGAAGTCAATGTAATTTTTATAATTTTTTGAAAGGTTCAAACTTGACTTTTATTTATTTTTTTATGAAAAAGAGTAATATAAATGAATAAACAAAAATATGATATGCAAATGTCTTTGATATTGAACATCGTGAATGAGATTGACTGTAGATCAGCATTCTCTAGTGCTTTTGTTTGYTTCAAGAGTAGTTACTGAATTCGCAGATTTGAAGTCGTAAACAAACGTTAAAATTACAAGACATTATTTTTGAATCATCCTTTTGATTTCTAGTTATCCTTGCTGGGACAGTCCATCAAAAATCAATAATAAAAATCTAGTAATAAAATTCATTTCTATAGCGMCATTTTCATTTCAACACTCAATTTATTTTATAAGACAATTATACGTGTTCAAAATTGTCAATGTCCCACCAGGACTATTGATTTAAACTAATATAAAGATATCTTTTTTTCTAAATTACTAGATGTTTTTTGAGTGCCGTATTCA